GGCTAAGTAGCTCTCACTAGCTCCTGGAGCATCTTGAGGCACAGCAAAGCACAGCCACCACAGGAGCCAAGGCTGCACCTCTGGAAAATGGGGCTCCCTGACCCCCTTCAGGAACCAAAAAATAGTTTAAGGCTGCCTTGCTTGGCAGGTTGGCACAGGAGGTCAGCTCAGCATCCGGCAAGAATGTGGAAGAAGATGGCTTGGCAAAGGCAGGACAGACTGGCTAAGTAGCTCTAACTAGCTCCCTGGAGCATCTTGGGGCACAGCAAAGCACAGCCACCACACGGAGCCACTGCTGACCTCTAGAAAATGGCTCCTTGACCCCTTCAGGAACCAACAAATAGTTGAAGGCTGCTGCTTGGCAGGTTGGCACAGGAGTCCAGCTCAGGATGGCGGCAAATGTGGAAGAAGATGATTTTGCAAAGCAGGCAGAAATGGCTAAGTTGCTCCTAACGCCACAGGAGCCACTGCTGCACCTCTAGAAAATGGGGCTCCCTGACCCTCTTCAGGAACCAAAAAATAGTTGAAGGCTGCCTTGCTTGGCAGGTTGCACAGGAGGTCAGCTCAGGATGGGGCAGGAATGTGGAAGAAGATGGCTGGCACATTGCCACATACAGGCAGCCTTTTTCAATCACGAGGTTTAAGGGGAGTGGCTGAAGAGAGGCACTAGCGTCTAGATTAGATCAGCTAGGCAGCTAGAGCGTCTTCCATGACAGCTGCACGCCTTTTACTTACCGCCAATGGCCGGTCGGTGTGGTGTCTACAGGAGTACTTTATATCTCTCTTGAGGCTTGACAGCGTATGTAAAGTGTGCTCAATACTCATGCTATATCCACATAGGATCCAGCCCAAAACAAAAACAGTGGCTAAGCACTGTAGCTCCTTGGAATCTCGGTAGCACTCCCTTTTCTTGACCTCACTGACAAACTGGGGTTCGAAAGTTTTAATTTTGTCGCTTGAAGTTAGGTCCATCAACCATCCATTCCCATCAACCATCCATTCGTTCTCACGGATTTTGCAAATCATGCCTCACATTTGTTCAGGTCACCTATCTCTCCATATGTTTTGATGATCTGTGCATTTCGATCATAACTTTAATAAGTGTGTTCTGTTTTTTGAAAACATTCAGCGGATAACTCACCAAAGACTATTTGTCTCAACACATCATAAAGACCAGTGGGGCATGGCAGAAAGATATGTTAAATCTCTTCAAATTTGGAAATGACGCGCATCCAATGCAACAGATGTTTTGCATTCATTTTTTCAAGCGGCTTGGCCCCCAAAAAAATATTTTCTGGTCATATGGAAGGGGGGGTCAAGGCAAGGCATTTTATAGTTTACAGCCTTTCAGCTGCCCATTTCTGGTCCGCCCACTGGTCAAGTCGTGTCATTTTATAGCCAGTTATAATTTTCCTATGAGTTTTCAAAACCTATCCACCTACCCCCTCAGTGACCCCAATTCCTGGCTAGAAAATCACCTGCAAGACCCCCCCCCCGAAAAGGAACCAAGATCGCAATCTCACATCCACGGTCGTTTTGCGTGGCAGGCGTGGCACTCATGGCGCTGGGTGGCGCCCTTTTCAGCCCGGTTTAGTCGCGCGTAGTCGCGCGTGATGCCGCGGCACTTTGCGTGGCAGGCGTGGCACTTGGTGACATCCACCTTCGTGCGGGGCGCGCTCTCACATCCACGGTCGTTTTGCGTGGCAGGCCTGGCACAATCTCACATCCACGGTCGTTTTGCGTGGCAGGCGTGGCACTCATGGCACTGGGTGGCGCCCTTGGCCCCGATTTAGTCGCGTGAAGCCGCGCGTGACGCCGCGGCACTTTGCGTGGCAGGCGTGGCACTTGGTGACATCCACCTTCGTTTCACGTGGCAGGCGTGGCGCACTCTCACGTCCACGGTCGTTTTGCGTGGCAGGCGCGGCGCTCATGGCACTGGGTGGCGCCCTTGGGCCCGGTTTAGTCGCGCGTAGTCGCGCGTGACGCCGCGGCACTTTGCGTGGCAGGCGTGGCACTTGGTGACATCCACCTTCGTTTCACGTGGCAGCCATGGCGCACTCTCACATCCACGGTCGTTTTGCGTGGCAGGCGTGGCGCTCATGGCACGGTCGTTTTGCGTGGCAGGCACAACTGTGTGGGGTTCTTGTTTTTGATTCTGTATCCCGGGTCGCTTCCCCGCCTCCCGCCGCCTCCCCTCTCACATACAATAACTTCACACACACACACAAACTTAACATACAATAACTTCACGCACACACACACAACCTTGTCACACACCATCTCTCACATACAATAACTTCACACACACACAAACTTAACATACAATAACTTCACACACACTCTCACACACACAACTTTGTCACATACCATCTCTCACATACAATAACTTCACACACACAAACTTAACATGCAATAAATTCACACGCACTCACACACAACTTTGTCATATACCATCTCTCACATACAATAGCTTCACGCACACAAACTTAACATCCAATAACTTCACACACACTCTCACACACACACAACTTTGTCAAAAACCATCTCTCACATACAATAACTTCACACACACTCGCACACACACACACAACACGGCACGTGGCACTTGGTGACATCCGCCTTCGTTTCACGTGGCAGGCGTGGCACAATCTCACATCCACGGTCGTTTTGCGTGGCAGGCGTGGCACTCATGGCACTGGGTGGCGCCCTTGGGCCCGGTTTAGTCACGCGTAGTCGCGCGTGACGCCGCGGCACTTTGCGTGGCAGGCGTGGCACTTGGTGACATCCACCTTCGTTTCACGTGGCAGGCGTGGCACAATCTCACATCCACGGTCGTTTTGCGTGGCAGGTGTGGCACTCATGGCACTGGGTGGCGCCCTTGGACCCGGTTTAGTCGCGCGTAGTCGCGCGTGACGCCGCGGCACTTTGCATGGCAGGCGTGGCACTTGGTGACATCCACCTTCGTTTCACGTGGCAGGCGTGGCACACTCTCACATCCACGGTCGTTTTGCATGGCAGGCATGGCACTCATGGCACTGGGTGGCGCCCTTGGGCCCGGTTTAGTCGCGCGTAGTCGCGCGTGATGCCGCGGCACTTTGCGTGGCAGGCGTGGCACTTGGTGACATCCATCTTCGTTTCATGTGGCAGGCGTGGCGCACTCTCACATCCACGGTCGTTTTGCGTGGCAGGCGTGGCACTCATGGCACGCTCGTTTTGCGTATTTTTGCGTGGCAGGCGTGGCACTCATGGCACTCTGTGGCGCCCTTGGGCTCGGTTTAGTCGCGCGTAGTCGCGTGTGACGCCGCGGCACTTTGCGTGGCAGGCGTGGCACTTGGTGCCATGCACCTTCGTTTCACGTGGCAGGCGTGGCGCACTCTCACATTCCACGTTCGTTTTGCGTGGCAGGCGTGGCACTCATGGCACTGGGTGGCGCCCTTGGGCCCGGTTTAGTCGCGCGTAGTCGCGCGTGACGCCGCGGCACTTTGCGTGGCAGGCGTGGCACTTGGTGACATCCACCCTCGTTTCACGTGGCAGGCGTGGCACAATCTCACATCCACGGTCGTTTTGCGTGGCAGGCGTGGCACTCATGGCACTGGGTGGCGCCCTTGGGCCCGGTTTAGTCGCGCGTAGTCGCGTGTGACGCCGCGGCACTTTGCGTGGCAGGCGTGGCACTTGGTGACATCCACCTTCGTTTCACGTGGCAGGCGTGGCGCACTCTCGCATCCACGGTCGTTTTGCGTGGCAGGCGTGGCACTCATGGCACGGTCGTTTTGCGTATTTTTGCGTGGCAGGCGTGGCACGCATGGCACTGGGTGGCGCCCTTGGGCCCGGTTTAGTAGCGGCGCCGGCCCAATACTCTACCTCACGGTTGCATTACCATTTGAATCTGAAAGGACCTTTGGTACTACAGGTCATTGTGCAGAAGCTTGATGAAGATCCGTGGCAGGGAATTCCGGCCGTGCATCCGCTAGTGCCGCTGGCTGCGTTGGATCGGGTCAGAGATCGGCAGCAGATTTGTGTTTCGGTGAATAATTGTGGAGAATCCAGGGTCGGTGGAACGTCAGACGAAAGAAGGTGAATGTCTATGACGCCTGTATGTTTCTGAAATTTGTCGTTGGTTGATATACGTCATAACCATGGTGCTTGCCACTGTGACTGTGTCGTAAGTTGACAGGCATGCGCTCTGTACTTGTCTTCCATACATTGACAACCAGCTACATTCGTGTTCTACACTTTTGCGGCCAGGTACCTTTCCTCTATGTCATCATCGTCGGATTCGTGGCTGTAGGACAGGCGCGGCTGTCACGTAGCACATCTCGTTGCACCACATGGAGCACAGAAGATCATGGAACACCTCATTCAGCCCATTCCAGGTCCGCAGTGCTGCCGCATGCAGAGCAGATGACATTGCAGCGCTGGCGAAAAAAAGATGTCTGCACTGTCGCGCACTCACGTCACTTTCACAAACACCATCTTTCACACGCAACTTTGTCACACACATACACATACATACATACATACATACATACATACATACATACATACAATCTTTTCACATACTTTCTTGCTTTGTCACACACCGTCTTTCACATTCCACTCTGTCACACACAACTGTTTTACTTTCTCGATCTTTCACCACCTTCTTTGTCTTTCCTTCCTTCCCCGTCCCCGCTACAACCTTTGAAGCCCATTATTGGAAGAAGTTGACTTGTGGGGTTGTCCGGTCCTTTAATTATTGTTGTTTTTTCTTTGTTTTTATCACTCCTAGTGCTATTACCATTTTTATTGCTGTTGCTGCGATTACTAGTTCGGGTCGTAGAAGCACCTGCTACCCATTGGATGGCATCAAAGAGCGAAAATCGTCACACTTGATAGGGGACGACCCACTTTTGCTCGTGGCACTTATTACGGGAAAGAAATAAGTTCGTCCATCGCCCCCCGCTCCTATATTCACACGCTCAAATTGCAGGGCTTGTAGCAACCCCAGTTGCCATATGTTGCAGGCGCTCGGAGAATGCATAGCTGCTGCGTTGGTGCTGAAGGAAGGACTTGAACCTGAGCAGGTGCAGCCAAAGGCCTTCGGAAGGGATACGGCGGAAAAAATCCAAATCCGATGGCTAGGACGCAAATAGGATCGGATTTTTTCGTTCTGGGAAAAAATATGATAAGATCTGGGGGGAGTAAGTGTAGCCGAGGTTGAGCAGCCAATGCTTGCACAAGCAAGTTTCTGTGTGAAGGTTTGAGCGCGCATGCTTTATTTCTTATGCGCATGGTATTTCTGGGTCCAAGAGTCTACCCCAAGAAGCGGAGATATTCTGACGACCATTCCTGGGATACAATTTTGGCTTTCCAAAAATTGCCTATAAGGCTTGCCAGCACATGGTGTGAGGACATTTTGCGCTACACCGAGAAGGAATTATCTGATGTGATGCAGCCAGAGGCCTGAAGGTATGACGACGAACTTTCATTTAGAACACCAAACGTTGTCCACATGCAAAATAAGACGTACACCTTCAACATAGACAAAATCAAACTTTGGGTGCTCTAAGTGCACACTTGGAATATCAAAATCGAGCATCCACAGTAGAACATCAAAAGTGTCAAACCAAGGGTTCACTTGGAACATCTTAGAACATGTATATATTGTTTAACTGAATCACACGGCTGAATTTTTCAAACTATATTTTAGGGTGTTCTAAGTGTAGAAGATTGTGCCACCTACCACCTGCCTACGGGCATCCAAATCGGAATATATCAAGTTTTTCAGCCACACTGAACCTATGCATGAGCCTTCAGCATACAGAACTCAATCAGGCATCTAGAGTATGATTTGGGATGCTGTAAGTGTATAATACGCTGCCACCTACCTGCCGGTATCTTAGAACCCAAGCATACAATATGTTTGTCCATGTTTTTCAAGCAAATAATAAAGTTTTCGCATAAGCTTTCAAAGTCTTTGCATAAGCCTTCAAGATGAAGAATTGAATCACACATCGGGATGTTCTAAGTGTATACCCCGCAACCTACCTGTGGCTATCCTGGAAACCAAGCATACCCTGGTCTTTCCGGCCAAATCTTTGCTAGAAGAAGAAATGAATCACGCGTCTAGATCTCTTGAAAAAACAATTTGGAATGTTCTAAACTGTTTACTCTGCCAACTACCTGTAGGCATCATTGTCAATTGCACTATTTTTTCAACCAAACGGATTCTACGCCCAATGTATCAAGAATCGCGCAACTAGATCTGTCAAAGCATATTTTGGGACGTTTTGAGCGCAGGTTGTAGTGTCAACCCCGGATTAATAAACCACTGTTTATTAGTTCGAAGGTACTCCTCCAATAGTCAGATACTTGAATGGTACCCTCCCAATGAAACAGCCTAGGGGGTTATTAATCCAGGTTTGACATTGCCACCCAACTGCGGGCACCCCAAAAGAGAAGAATATATTAGAGATTATTAGAGATATACGAGTTTTCAGTCAAATGGAGCCTATGCCTTTCCAAAAGCCGGGAAGATACAAAAAGAATTGTTGAATTGACATGTGCTTTGGGATGTTCTAAGTGTAGATTCCGCTACCCGCGCGTGGGCATCCCCCCAAACAAACGCAGCCAAATGAAGCCTATGCCTATGCATCAGCCAAGAAGACCAAGAATTGAATTATATTTTGGGATGCCCTAAGCGTATGCTCTGCCACCTACCTTTGGACATCCCAGAAACTGGGAATACAATAGGTTTTGCTTCGGGATGGAGTTTATGCATAAGCCTTCAAGATACGGAACTGACTCATACATCTAGATCTTGAAAACTATTTTTTGGGAAGTTTCAAGTGTATGCTCTTCAACCTACTTGTGGGCATCCTAGAAACAAGCATATCATAGGCTTTTCAGCCGAATGGAATTTTTGCAAAAGCTTTCAAGATTAAGAATCACGCGGCTGAATCTTTTAAACCAAAATTTGGTGTGTTCACGGGTGTTCCAACTGTATAGTCTGCAACCTACCTGTGGGCATCCTAGAACAAAAGCATATCATAGGTTCTTCACCCAGATGGGGTCTTCGTAAAAGCCTTCAATGTTTACGAACTGAACCGCGCATCTATTTTTGTACGTCTTTTAAATTTTTAAACCATAACTTAGGCTGTTTTCGGTGTATACTCTGCAACCTACCCGTGGACATCTTGGAAAAACATCATTTGTCCCCAACATGTTCTTCCGCGCGCTAGCTTTAAAGCACCAGTTTCAAACCCTCCTATACTCTCCTGCATTTCAGGTAGCCGGGCAAAATTGCATTCCGTGTGACTTTCGTGGAGCGGACGCACGCTTAGAACATCGCTGTGTGCACAACTATAATGTTCAAAGCGTCGGGCTTTTGACGAGTTCTAAGTGGCTTTTCCTGAATACACACTTAGACCATTGAAGCAGATTTGGGGAAGCGCGGTTTCCAAACAATGTTCTAAGCATAGGTCCGGCGATATAAATGGAACGCTTAATTAAAAAATATTCTTTCCCCGCGATAGCAGCATTCAATGGTATGGTTGAGCATACATGAGGCGTACATGAGCATACATGAGGGGTGTGCGTGCGTGTGTGTATGCATGCGTAGGCCACGGTTCAGCCGGGAAAGGCTTGATGCTTAATATGCGTAGTTATGCTGAGCTTGATGTCTAACTGGGTGGGGAGAGCAACTCCAGGATTTCACCGATGTATACCGATGTGATGAAGAACATTTTCCTTCCTGATTGCCCTGTCCATGACAGGTCTTTGTTTATCTTCCCAAAGACTTGCTGCCTACCACTGCCACAAAGAAGTTCATCCGGGCAGGGCTGGCACAGAAGCCGCTTCGACAAAAGAGCGATGCTGCGGCACACAGAAAAACTCATCAGAAGGCACGCTTTGCCCTACAGCATCCAGATGCTTCCAACTGGGTTTGAAAGGGCCGCAGGCGCCTGCTCATCCTTTGTCCAACGAACATTACAGCTATGTGCGTAATTATTGAGAGTGCCATTTCACCAGCCAAGGCTGGGGTTATGTGATTTACTCAGCGGGCAGGGAGGTGCATTTATGCAACTTGGCAACCACAGTGCTAAAGCCAGCGCAACCTGCTTTCAGCCTACATATAACCATGTCTTCTCATATTTCTTCATTTAAATTCTGAGGCGGGCAGCAGGCAATTGTTTTGAAGTCCTCAGTTCCTCAGTGCTTGGATGCCCAGATAAGATACGTAAACGCTAAGAGATTGAAGGCTGGACGACTGCTCTTTCCACAATGATCTAAACTGACTATATATTTCGTTCCCGTTTTTTTGTTCTTCTTCGTATTTTCCAACATCTACGTTTCCTTTTTCTCCTTTCTTGCTAGCTAGGGGCAGCTCTTCTTTGCTGAGAATTTCCTGGCGCGCTTTGTAACAGTCCAGCAGGGGCAAGTGGAAGAGCAGCAGCAACAGCAGTAGCAGCCACAACAGCCACAACGGCAACAGTGTGAGTATGACCACGGCAGGGCGGCAGCAAGATCACCAGCAAGAGCAGCTACAATGTCCTGCTCCACCCCAGCGCTTATTACCAATATACCCGGAGATACTGCTTACATGTCTTGCATTCTTCCGTCCGACGTCCTTCCATTCTTTTGTCTTCCACCTGTCATCTTCTCTCTGTCTCTGACAAAATTATCTCGACGAAGGGCAGGGCCATCTCTACCAAAACTATACAGTTCACTACGTCGCTGCGTTAAACCTATTTATCTTTTTTAGCTTATGTATCTCCATCAAACTTGTCTCCACCAAAATCCTAAACGTATCTTGAGGGCTTCTGAAAGAAGCACAGAACAACTAGGAATGCCAGTTGCTTGGGTGGATGGGTGGGCTGTAGTATGGGCCCAAAACTAGCCTAGTTTTTGAGCAGGAATTTTTCTGCCTAGGTAGATGTCCTAGGCGCGAGTTGCCATGTCTTTGTTTGGGCCTTGGAGTGAGTTGCATCGCTTCAACACCATTCAAGCAGCGCGACAACATTTTCATGTTGGCGATGCTCAGTGGCAAGCGTTCGTCTCTTCTCTTCTGTGACTGTTCCCACTTCTGCTTTTCCATCTGTCTATGTTGTCAGAAGTTTGACTTCTAAACTGCCTTCGACAATATATGACAAATAAACATGTATCCCCCGACCCCGGCCGACAGCAAGGGGGAGCGCGCCAGGGAATAAGAGTTTCCCACCTCCAGCACCAACACCAACATCATGCTGCGCAGGCAGTTCAGTTTTTGTCATGTGTGTTTTACGCCTTTTTGGCACATTGATTTTTCCATTTTTTGGCATTGGATCTCTATCAAGCTTCATCTATGAAGCCTCTCTCTCTCTCCCTCCCTTTGCCAACTTCTCGTTCTCAAACGTTTTGCTGTCGTGCTTCTTCCCTTGCACCTCTACAAGATTCTGTAACTCTACTCTTTGGACTTCTTACTTCCTTTATGGCACATTGATGTTGTTTCTGCGCTGCACCAACCGCGGATGAAAATACGCCGCCCTTGCTCATTACCTTGTTAAAAGTTGACAGTCCCCGGCGTCCAGACCTACCCGGGGACCATGCCAAGAGACAAGCAGTGAATGGAATTGTTACATCTAGTAGCGGGGTTGATGGGCGCCCCAGATACAAGCTGCGAGGAACAAGTCATTCAGAGGGCCTTTTCACACAAACGTGTGAAACCAGGGAAAAGTCTGTATAGTCCATTGAAAATTCCTCAGGGCGATTGTCTGCCGGGCCGTGAAGGCAAAGTAAAGCATTGCAGCCCCCCCAAAAAAGGCCGAAAGGTACACTTGCCATATTTTTACGTTTTTTCGTTTTTTCCCATGTTTTAAGTTTGCCTTCCTCCGGCTTTCCAAGGTACCAAGACGGGGGCTTCACACCTTGCAGCTCGGAACATGTGAGCCGTTCCTGGATGGTGGGTGATGGTGGTGCGTGATGGCGCACGTTTTCAACTGCTTGATTGTTTGCTAGAATCTAGACTTGGCAGCAGGGGTGAGAAATGAATGGTAGTTGTGCTTGTGTTGTGCATCAATTTGTTGGAAACCCCTTCATTGGAACTAGCATAACTAGCATATGCATATGTAAGATAGATGTTTCTTGAACTTGCCCGAGTGTCCACCATTGTATTTTGGATTCCCCAGCTTCGTGCAAGACCCCAGAATGGCCAAGAAGGTCCTTCCATCAGTTCAGAACATAGCGCATGGCGCATGCCTAGTGCCTAGTGTTGATAGGGCGCAGTGCTTCCAATCCAAATTGTGGGTCCATACTGTTCTGTACTTGTAGCCAAATCTTTGTGCAATTTGAATTCCTGTTGAACATTATGTGGAAAGGGATGAGATGCAGAAAAAACTGCCCGCACCGAAGGTGCCGAGGCGTGGTAGTTTAGCAGCGGATGCGACCGGACAGATCTGCCAGACTGGTACAGCTTCAGCTCGGGGGTGAGCACCCAAAGTCGGTTCCCCGCTGTGGTAATTTGCACATTTTGAAGATCGGCCCAAAATCGCCCAAATGCGCCGTTTCGATCCGAGATGGCCGCAAAATCAGCTGGTGTCAACTTCGGCCAGCAAGGCCCCAACTTCGGCCCAACTTGGAAACTTCGGCCCAACTTGCCTCCGAGATGGCACAACTTCGCCCCAACTTGGACTGAGCAACTCCGCCCCAAGTTGGGGTCCATATGGTTTCAAAATGGAGGACATAGCCTGCCCAATGCGAAATCCTCAAGGCGTTCGTTGTCAGTGGCTTTGTCTCGGCCTCCTTCGTGGCTGCTACGGGCTCCGGCTTCCGCTGGGGTACGAACCGAGACGTGAGATGTCTGCAGGGGTCGTCCTCTGCTTGGTTTGAAAGAAAAAATGTTGAAAAAAAAGAATTCAAGAATGATAAAACTGAGAAAAAATTGATCAGAAAAAGACAAAAAGGACATCAAAACATGTGACAATGGAAAAGATGGTAGCTGTGCGCACAAGATGGCCAGAGAGCCCAGCAAGATGGCCTTTGAGCCGCACCAAGATGCACATAGCGCTACCCAGTGGTTCAAACGGATGGTTTTTGGCTTTGGTTTTGGTTTGACTTCCCCCAAACCCCGAAGGCGCTTTCCCGGTTTGGGTACTTGGTTTTTTTGGGTGCGGTTAGTGGGTTTACCCCTTACTACTGCTGGGGCCGATGGCCTCTCTCTCGCTCCTTGGTCGGCAGTTCAGACCGGCCCTTCTGGGCCCCCGTCGGTGCGTCGGGGCGCAAATGCCATGATGGCTTCGCTGGAGCAGCGGCTGTTTGCAGCCGGTGGCGCAGCGCTGGCAGCGGAGGCGTGCGAAGACGCGTTTTGTGAGCCTGTTGTTGCTGCTTCCTTCGGCGCAGATGGCTGCTTCGGCTTGCATATATTGCATGTTTCTTGGAGTCCTGGGATTTGGATGTTTCTTGTCATTCGGTTGTTTTTGGAAGAACGCACAATGCTTGGCTGGCTGTTTCAATGCTTGGCTGTGCACACCGGGTTTTTCTTTCATTGGTTTGATTGTCTCTGGAGTTTCTGGCGTAACAAACCTTTCACCATTCGGTCTGCTCGATTTTGTGGCAAAACACGTGTGAAGGTTGCCTGACAAGGTTGGCTGCATAGGTTTCACGAAAGACTCAGACTTCAGCCTGGGGTGGGCCCCAGGATGACCAAAACGAGTTTGATTGGAAACCTTGGACACAAGCCTGTTGCTGGGGAGTTTCTGGATCCCTTTTCTCAGGACAGGTTTTCGGATTTATGTAATGTTACTGGTCTCCCTCCTCATATTCCTTTTGATAATTGTAGGGGAGGTGCTGGCGGTTCTGCTGCCACAGCACGAAAAAGAAAGGAAAACGAACGGGACCAAGCCTTGCTTCAAGGCCTCGCGGGTCTCCTGGCTCAATTCAATGGTACGGTCTCAAATGGTCACAACAAAGGGAAAGGAAAACAGCAAAGCAAACAGGCCACCAGTACTGGGAATCGGCCTCGCTCTGGCAAAGGTCCTCAGACTAACACTGTTGACACTTCGGGTTTGCTTGGTGCACTGACCTGATTGGTCAACCGGGCTCAGAAAAAACCAGAAGGCCTGCTCGACCGGTTGGTTGCTCTGGTTGATGTTGCTTCTTCGGGTTTAAATCTTGAACCAGAAAAGCGTCAAAAGAAGCGGCGACGACCTCAGACTGAGGTTAAAAAAGGTAAGGGAGGCGCCAAAGCCTCTGGAAAAAAGGAAGGACAAAAAGGGTCCGCTTCGGGACCTTCGACTGGAAAGGGTTCTGATTTGCCTGCGGGCTCTTCTTGGGCTCACATAGTGAAAGGGAAAAAAGTTTCTGGTGATTTCCAAGGGCCTATTTTCCGCCTCCGTCCCGAAGATTGGGCGGATTTTCATGTTGTTTCTCATGTCAATCAGTTCGGAACTTTGGTTGACAAGTGTGGGAAAGCCAAACCTTTTGTTTTTCTGGTTAAACATCAGGATCAGCTTGATGAAGCTGTGGCACTAGTGGCGGGTGATGCTGACATCAAAGCGACGCTGCTCTTTGTTTTAGGTTTTGGGGCCCCTCTTGAGCTGATCGGGAAAGAACGAGAATCTAAGGTTCCTCTGGTCGATGCTGCTGGAAAAGTGTCAACCAGGAAAGTTCAGTGTTTGAGCAATCACAATACTTTTGACCAGTCCAAGGTTAGAGTTGTGGTGCCAGTCGATAAAAGACCTCCTGTGACCACCCGTGAAACCTCTAAACTGGACACTTTGGTCATTCGTCTTTCTCTTGACAAAAGGTTTACGGATACCAAAGCTTGGAACAAGATATGTCAAAATCCCGGGGTTGTTGCTCGGGCTTGGATGAAGGACGTTGCCCCGGTTTGCCAACCTTTTTTGCAGGACACCTGGGGTTGGGAGCTGTTGCCTGGCTCCGGGGGTGCGGATACGGTGATCAAAGGACTTGTGCGGGTCAAAAAGAAAGATCAGCTCACTCACCTGTTGGCTGCCAGCGGAAAGGTTTCCCAGGAGGTGCGGGTGTTTCTTGACCCTTTGGACTGGACACTGACTCCCAAGACGTGGGGGAAAAGGCCTTATGTTTCTTGGGTCGAAAAAAGGCCAAAAGAAGATGACCAGGCCTATATGGCACGGGCTGCAAAGCTCAATGTCAACTGTGGCCTGGCTAGGGGCTGGCGACAGATAGGCGTCCGAAGTTTGACTGAGGTGCCTACCACTCCTGTTGTCCCGGTGCGCACTTGGATCCTGAAATCGGCACCTCGGTACTGGACCATGGAACAAGTCACCAATTTTCTGGAAGCGTCCAATTTTGGATCAATTGGGTTTGTTTCCAAGAAATGGGAAAAGTTTGGTACTTCCTGGATTTTCAAGGGACAAAGGGATTGACCTGCTTATTTGCAATTGCTTTACAGTGGTGACTGTTTTGACTCCGATTCTGGAAAGTTTTTGATTGCTGAAAAGCTGCAGCCTGCGGCCTGGAAGCAGGCCCATGGCACCAAGCTTCGCGAAGAAAAAAGGGTGTCTTTAAGGTTTGGTCGGCCCACTGCCGAGGCATCTGATGCCGCTGCCATTCCTGTGCCGTCTGAGACAGGTACGCCAAAAAGTGGACAACAACAGGAGGAGGACAATATGGATTTGTCTGAAAAGGCAAAACGGAATGAAAGTGGCGGGTTGCGGGAAAGCCCGGCCAAAAAGCGGGCCAAGGCTCAACCCCTCCCTGCTGGAGTTACTATAAGGTTGACAATGCAGGTGGAGGCGACTGCTTGTTTCACAGTGTTGCTCAATCCATTCAGCATGTCGACAACAAGGCTTGTCACCACAGACAAGTCAGGGCAGCTGCCGTTGCCCACCTCAAACGTCATGCTTCGAAGTATGCTTTTTTCTGGGATCATCGGAATCCGGATTCGACTCTTGTTTCTATCAAGGATCTTCAGGAAGACTTCCTCAACTATCTTTCCCTTGTTGGAAAAGTTGGTTCGTGGTCTGGGAATTTAGAACTCGCTGCCTTGGCCAGTACGTTGGACCGGCCGATTTATGTGATTCACGAAATGGGACAAATCTATGGTTTTAATTTGGATGGTTCTGAGAAAGACTTGTGGATTTGGTATTCCAGAGCTCAAGGACATTACGAATCTCTGCAAGTGCCGAACGAAGTTGCGCTCACGCTGAGGACTAAGGCGTTGCTTGCCAAGCCTGAGGGTGGGCGCCAGGAAAACCGAGGTGGTGGCAAATCACCTCCGTCCCTGGGTGGACGAACCAAGAAAGCTCTTTCTGTGACAGGAGGCTGGGCGGGAAACACACCTTCTTTGGGAGGAAAGACCAAGAAAGCTCCTTCTTTGGGGGGACACACCAAAGCTTCCGGCATGTCACTGGGGGGCAAGACTAGAGGCAAGCTTGATGCTTCAGCTAGCTCACTGGGAGGCAAGACTCGGAAAACTGTTTTGAAGAACCAACGCAAGACCATTTCTAGCGCTGGCTCCAAGGGACCGAAAACTAAGGCTTCCAGTTCACGCGCAGGCAAAATCACTGAACCAGCTGTTGCTGTTTCGCTTGGTGGACTGACTAGGAAAGTCCAAGTTTGGCAGGGGGCGCGGGGGCTCTCCAAGAGTGGTGTCAGTGTGGGCACTTGTGCTGCCAAGGTTCCAGTTGGCCGTCTGAAATCTGCTCAACATGCTGCTCCACCCAACCCCATTCTTGTTGGTAAAAGAGCCCCTAAGAAGGAATGGACTTGCAATTTGTGCCACATTACTTTATATGATGACCCCAAGCTGTGTCCTTTGTATCGCAGACGGATGAACCATATTGCCCAGAGACATGCGCATGAAAAGGACCAGGTGAATTCGATGAGAGAATTCAGTGAGCCGGTGGAGGCCTCGGCTGACATTCTTCTGGACCAGCGCGATTGGTGC